ACAGCGTGCTTGTTTGAGGAGACACGGTTTTAATCCAACACGGAATGAAAGAAATAATAAATAAATCGTTCAGCCGTAGCACCCTTCTGGTTCCTAGCTGCCATGCCACGCGAAGGAGACACGAGGGCTGGGATAACGCCAGGTTGCCCAAGCCTAGATAGGGGGAATCGCGAGTCAGAAGTCGGGTTCGAACCACAGACCCTGCGGTCAGTAAATTCGCGCTCTAACGACTTGGGCCATTGCCCATCTCGTCATTGCAAACACATTGGGACATAAAATTCCGTAATAAAAGACAGGAAAACGTAAAACGAAAAGGAACTTGGGATGAATAGAGTCAAGTATTCTATCTTGCGTCGCATTAACCTGAAACATTATTAAAGCATCTTTCTCGCTAGACTTTTTTTGTACAAGTTCATGTTAACCTTTATAAAGATATCGTGAATTTTTACACAAAATAGTAAAAATGAAATTGTGAAATGGTCATAAATGAAACGAAAGAACAAATCATGATGCCGATGAGTGTATTTGGTGGATCTGTTCTTTCCTGAAAAACTGCTGTTGATTAGGAGTCTCAGGTGCCCACACGTCCTTCGGAAATCCTGCTCACGTGTTGATGTGGTGCTCCATTGTCCCTGCGTGAATTTACGCACAGTTCCCGAAATTGCCTCGAGGAAAAGAAGAAACGTGTGCCATGGTCTCAAAATCCTCTGGGATGAAATATTCGAGGGTGTCAACGGAGAAAGCTTTAAAAATCGCCTAACCGAACCGTACTAATGACGCTATTTGTCGTCCGAGGTTTGTGTGCAGATAAAGAGATAGGCTTGTGATATGTACCGATAACAGCTGACGTTTATACACCCTTGAAAGACAAGCTCACGACTGTAACGATGTAACTGTCACAATGTAACTGGGCTCCATTTTTCAGTCTGGTCGTGGGTCCGCACAAAACTTATACACCGATCAGTGATCGGAGGTTGGTCGGAGGACCGGTGAACCGAAAAATTCAACTTTTCAGTTTTGCTACAGCTGGAAGGCTGTGATCTACTCAGTGGGACTATCAGCGATCAACACGCAATTCAGCTGGAAGAATGATTCAAGCGACGAGTGAAGATATTATCGGAACAGTCATCACTCGAAGAGTTGGTCAACATGTGAGACCACGTGATGTAGAATTTGTGACTGAGGAATGAGTGGCGCAATGTAATCACACTGGTAGACAACCGCTCCTTGCCGAAAAACCAAGTGTTCAAACTACCGAGTGGAAATTTGGAGAATTCGAAACCTTCTGGAGTTCGACGGGATGTGCACTACTGAAGGTTTCCCATAAGGATGAGATTTTTTTAAGGATGAGTTTTACAGAGCCCGACGGGTTTTAAGGTTAGATTGACTTGTGTGGCAGGATGAAACCCAAAATGAAAATCCTCAAGTCCCCTCAAAAAAAACAGTGAACATTCAAAAATGACCGCTGTAGAAGCAGGCAGAAGAGCATATGGATCTAAAAACCAAGACATGAGAGTCGGACAAAGTACCTGGCAAAAATATGGACGCACACGTCTCTATTGTTTGCCGTCAAACGCTAACTTCCAAAGTCAACTGACTACGTTGGATGCACTACTGATTGGATGGGTTCGATGTAAGCCAGTAGGCAATGCCAGACACAATTTGGTGTTGTACAAACGAATGAATTCCCTGTATCCCCGGGGAATAGCGGAAGGCGAAGAGCGGGGGAATGCGTGTCCAGCTGGTAACTCATGATAGTCGCCGTTGACCAATGTATGATAAAACAATCCTAATGCCCCGCACAACTCACGAGAGGTATTCAAGGGCAAACACATATGTCTACCTGGTGCTAGTCAGTACGCAGCTGAATCCCGTACAGTGTTGACCATGGGGGTCTATTTCCACAGTGTTAGCACCAAACATTGGCATATAACATAGAACACAACGAACTGTTTGTTTTAAACGTCACCAACCCTGGTTCCAAGAATGCAACTTCATTCACGTTCAGACGGCATGCAACCAAATACACA